CTGTTAGGACGTTCGCCCTGACGGGAGAGATCGCGAGTTCAAATCTCGGCGTAACAGCAATTTCAGCGGCAACACTGGGGTTGGGTATCACTAGCCGATGACGTCTAATAAGACAGAAAAGGCCTTGCTAGTGTTCCATGTCTTTGCTGGGAATGTCCTTCTACCTATAACAGACTGTCTACGCGTACCACGCACGGGCTGGTCCTTACCCCAAATTATCAAATCACAATAAAGGCGGCTTGCATCTTACATAGGTGAGAATGCCGTAAATGTTGTGGCAGTCCGCACTCAGCACCACTGTGCTGAGTCATCTTGCCCTCGCTTCCTAAGCCTTCGGCACACGTGCGTGATCACCTCCACCACAGGCTCTTTGTCAGTCTTTGCTAGAAGCCTGCATTGTCCTGTCCGTGTCACGTTCCCGGTCGATTCGTTGCATAAGACGCACGAAAGCTAGAAGCCAGTCAAGAGCGCCATTTCACTACAGGGGATAGAGGACATGTCCTGGAGCCAAGTCATCCCAACAGCGGACATTAAACAACACAATTTGCCTTAAAACGCAGCTAGTACTTGGCAGAGACCTTTGTAAAGCTCATTTTCCTCAGTAACAAGCTGTTCGAACCTACTCTGTCTTCGCTGACTTCGGATTTGGGAAACCTTCTTTTGGTCGACGCAACCAATTCGACAAAAGGACACTGCCAGGGAGCGATTGCATGCGCTGAGGTGTCCTAGATGTGGGTTTCCCAATTTCAGCCTTGCTTTTCCCAGCCTGTTCCCACCTGCCTCGTCAACCGAAGCTGAGATTAGAGGCAACAACTGACGCAATGTAAAAGCTTACGTCCACTACGGGTCACGCGCATGTACGGCACGCGCTCTGGGCTCGTATGAAGTCAACGCAGCCAGATGAATGTAAGGCCCAAACCAGTCTGACCCCCGTTCTGGTCCGGCCAATTCAACTGTGAGGACGACTTGGACAGCACCCAACTCACTCAGGCCTTTCAACACGACCTTCATCGAGATGCAGAAGATTAAAGTGAATGTGAAAGATAGGAATTTGCATGCAATAGAACAATTTCAGTATAGAAAAGCCTATCAAAGACTGGGCACTTCGGACAAAAAAGAAAAGTCCTTAGCGTTTGTGTGTGTATGTGTACGTCCTCCATTTTACTCCACGGGCGGGGGTGGACGAGCAAAGTTCAGGATACTAGGCAGTCTGGCAGGAACCGCGCTCTTTCTCACAAGCTCCAGTTCTGCACTCATTTCGCTGTCGTAGCTGTAGGAGTCATCCGCACCAATCTCCTCCTCCACGGAAGAAGCTGCATTGGGGTCCTTCAAGAGATTTGGCTGCACGACGATTGACAGGCGTTTGGGAGTTGCAGTGCCTGGCGTGGCCACCGTCGCCCCGGCAGCGCCAGGAGAAATAGTCTTGTCAGTTGCAGTTCCATCCACCTTCAGGCCACCGGCCCTTGCGTTGTACAGCTCCAGTGCTGTGATTGCGTCAGCCTCAAAAATGGGTAGTCTAACTGGAGCATTAGCCTTACAGAACTCCATAATCTCCAGAATCAGGTCTTTGTTCTTCTGATTGCTGTCTTCGTAGACTCGCAGGATTTCGGTGTAGAGCAAAGCCGGTAGATCATCCCAGTCTTGTGCCACCTTGGCGCGCCGAATTTCC